CGCTGTGTGTGTGTACTTTCTGTGCTTTAGTTGTTGTCATTTTTAAAATAAATTTTTATTTATTTCAGAGAGGAAGGGAGAGGGAGATGGAAACATCAATGATGAGAGAAAAATCACTGGTTGGCTGTTGATTGGCTGCCTCCTAATGGGGATCAAGCCCACAACCCAAGCATGTGCCCTTGACCAGAATTGAACCCAGGACCTTCCAGTCTGCAGTCCAACGCTCTATCCACTGAGCCAAACCAGCTAGGGTGGGACTTTTTTAAGTGATTAATGTGTTCAGGTGGTTCAGATATCAAGCCTCTATAAAAGGTATACATTGAGAGTTCCCATCATTGTCTACTGCCTATGGGAAACTACTTTTACTGGCTTCTTGTTTCTTTTTAGTATTTATTTTTGGAAGTACAATTAAATATGACTATATATCCTTATTTTCTTTTTCTTATAGAAAACATTATATACTTATGTATATTGCTTTTTTTCATTTAACAATATATCCTGGTGATCTTTCCATATCAGTCCATAGCCTTTCACTCATTTTTACAGCAAATAGTATTGCAATGTGTGGGTATATGATTATTTCTTAAGTAGTTCCCTATGAATGGTATTTGGGTTGTTTGCAATCTTTTACTGTTATATACAGTGTTGGAATGATAACTATATTCATATAGCCTTTATATGTACCTGCACTTATTAAGGTGCTGCTCCTTAATCCCTTTTTTCAAAAAAATGAAAATTTAGATTTTTCCTGGTCCATGAGTTTCATGATTTATTAATAGGAAATGCTTGCTTACTTCCTAAATCTTCCCAGACAGATTGTGTTGGAGGCTAAAGCTCTACATAGAACATTAAAGAAAACAGGTATCACCCAGCGATCTAAGAACATGTAGTCAAAATGGCTATCAGATTTCTACCAGGGAAGAAACAAAGATCTTTAGCTGCTTCTTTACCAGATTATATAAGCAACCCATCAAAGCTCTCTGATGTCAGCTTCCCACTTGGGATCAGACGAAACATGTGTATACCTTTTTGTTTTATACTTGATGAAGCTTTATTTTGGTTTAGTAGAAACATTCTTGTCATAAGCATCCTGTTGGTCTTTCCCACACCTGGTAGTTCAAATTAGAAACAGAAACTGACCTCTGAAACAAAAGAAAACAAAAAAAAGAAACTGACCTCTGAGTGAGCCAGGTGAAGGGGAAGGAACCAATTCTGTTACAAGGAATCTTGTTGGCAGTGACATAATACCCAACAAACTGGCTTAAGCTCCAAAAAGGCAATTTATCATTTCAATTGTCAAGGACGATTCACTGACTTCAGGCATAGCTTGAACCAGAAATCGAATGATGACGTCAAAACTCCATCCCTTGGTTTTGTTTTCCTCTACGTTGACTTCATTCCCAGGCAGAGTCCTTCCATGTTATGGCAAAGATGGCCCCTTGGCGTGGCCTCTCCATCCGGAGGAAGAGCATTTCTTCTGAGAACAATGTCAAAAGTCCCTGGGAGGGTTCTGGACTTGCTGAATAACTAAGCAGCCCCCTGCTTTGGGGGAGGGTCTGGTGGGCAGGGAATGGTGCCCTCTTCTTACACATGTGAACAGAATAGGATTAACAGACATGGGGGAGGGGATAGCTTTCCGAAGGCCTTTTGATCTGTTTCTGTTTCACAACCACAAACCCACACATTCAACTGAGAAGAAACAGAGGGAAGAAAACCAAAATGCAAATGTTACTGAAGGTAACTTTTTCTTTCAAAAGTGATTTATAGTTAACATTTATTGAGCAATCAACTCTCTCCCTCTTTCTCTCCCTTCCTTTCTCTCCTCCTTTTCTCTCTAAATGAAAAAAACAAACAAACCACCCACTTTAAAAAAACCAACATGTCAGTGGTGGCATAACAAATTAGGGGAATGATAAACCAGTCAATAAATACAAATGGTACTGTTACAGTTGGTTACTTATAAAACTTTAGAGGCATTCCCATTTAAAACAGGAACTAAAGCCTGGCCTGTGTGCTCAATGGTTGAGCATCAACCCAGGAACCAAAAGGTTACTGGTTCAACTCCTGGTTGGAGCACATGCCTGGGTTTTGGGCTTCATCCCCAGTGAGGGGTGTACAGGATACAGCCAATTGATGTTTCTCTTTACAGTTGGTTACTTATAAAACTTTAGAGGCATTCCCATTTAAAACAGGAACTAAAGCCTGGCCTGTGTGCTCAATGGTTGAGCATCAACCCAGGAACCAAAAGGTTACTGGTTCAACTCCTGGTTGGAGCACATGCCTGGGTTTTGGGCTCCATCCCCAGTGAGGGGTGTACAGGATACAGCCTATTGATGTTTCTAGATGTCTCTCACTTCCTCTCTCTCTAAAAATTAATAAAAACATTAAAAAAGTAATAAAGATGTTGAAAAGCAAAGCTAACATTTAAAGAAAAGTAAAGTCTGAAGGATGAAGTTTATGGTATGTGAATTATGTCTCATAAACCTGTTAAAAGTTAACCATTGCTTTTACTGAACACAGTTCTAACATAAAACCAATATAATAAAAGAGCAAAAGTAAGAGAGAAGCATAAAAATCAGAAAGGGAGACTAAATGTGCTTATATGCAGACAGTGATAGTCTACATAGAAAAATCCAAAAGGATCTATAAAAATTAGAACAAAATTCTGCATGGTTGCAGGGTACCAGATCAGTTAAACAAACACTGATGATGTTTCTACATACCAGATGTAACCAATTGGGAAAAATAATAAAGATCTCATTTTTATTTTTATTTATTGAAAGAGAATCATCCATCAGCTGCCTCTTGCACACTCCCCATGGGACCGAGCCCACAACCAGGGCATGTGCCCTTGACCAGAATCGAACCTGGGACCCTTCAGTCCGCAGGCCAATGCTCTATCCACTGAGCCAAACGGGCTAGGGCTCATTATTTTGTTTTTTTAAATTGATTTTAGAGACAGAGTAACATCAGTTTGTCGTTCCACTTATTTACACATTCATTGGTTAATTCTTGAATGTGCCCTGATGGGATTGAACCTGATACTCCAACCAACTGAGCTACCAGTCCAGGGCCATAGGTCTCATTCTTTTTTTTTTTTTAATATATTTTATTGATTTTTTTACAGAGAGGAAGGGAGAGGGATAGAGAGTTAGAAACATCGATGATGAGAGAGAAACATCGATCAGCTGCCTCCTGCACACCTCCTACTGGGGATGCGCCCGCAACCAAGGTACATGCCCTTGACCAGAATCGAACCCGGGACCCTTCAGTCCGCAGGCTGACGCTCTATCCACTGAGCCACACCGGTCAGGGCAAGGTCTCATTCTTAATAGGAGAAAAATCTATAAGCATGTAGGAATATATTTAATATAAGACATGCAAGACCTTCATGGAGAAAATAAGACATTGTTTAAGGACATAAAAGAAGACCTAAATGAAAGGATATACTAATATACTACATTCAAGGATGAGAACAACTAATATTGTAAAGATGCATATTGCCCCCAGATTAATCTGAGTTTAATGCAAGAATCTGACAATTGATGCTAAAATCCATCTAGAAGAGCAAATGGCTAAGAATAACCAAAAAATGTTAAGGCGAGCTGGGGAGACATGTATTTGCAGTAATTAAGACTGTGCCATATGGCATAAGAGATAAATAAACCAGAGAACAAGACAGAAACAGACACATGTTTAAAATATAATAGTGGTGGCATGAAAATCAAAGGGAAATGAACTAGTTAATCCATGATTTAATTCTACAATCAGATATATATATAAAAAAAATTTATGCCTAAAATAAATTCAAGGTGAATTAAAGATGTAAATGAAGCCGAAACCGGTTTGGCTCAGTGGATAGAGCGTCGGCTTGTGGACTGAGGGGTCCCGGGTTCGATTCTGGTCAAGGGCATGTACCTGGGTTGCGGGCACATCTCCCGTGCCTCTCCAGTGAACTGACAGAGCCCTGTCTTGGCTCATTTCTTTCCCATAATGTTTCTCGAGAGCCCGCCTAGGCGCTCTCCTGTTGCTTCTTCTATCCTTAGCTCTTCCTCGTTTCACTGTCCCCAGCTAAAATAAACAAACTCTCAAAATAAAATTTTAAAAAATTAGACTATCTGTGACCTTGGAGTAGGAGAGATTTCTTAGACAAGATACAAATATATAGAAGATCAAGGAAAAGATTGATATATTTAAGTACATTAAAAATCTTTAACTTTTGAACATAAAAAAGGTACTATAAACAAAATTAATGGAAACCACAGATTGGGTGAAAATGTAACAGATATTAACCAAAAAATTAATATCCAGAATAAATAAAGAACTCTTCCAATTAATAAGACAACCCAAGAGAACAATGGGCAAAAGATAACACAAAAATCTTCACTCAAGGCCACTGTAGGTGCTATACATTGCACCAACTCTACAGTGTGCCTTTCACAAACACTACAACATGAACTGCGCCCCCTAGAGTTGTGCAGTGCACAAACTCTACACTAAAAGATACAACTTACACTATACAGTTGGTGGCCCTGTGAAAATGCAAAGGAAAATACACTATGGGATATCATTTCACACTCATCAAATTGGCCAAATTAAAAGTTTCGACATCTAAAATGTCAGACAGTATGTGAAGCATCTGGAATTCTCAACTGCTGCTGTGAGGGTAAACCAGTACCATCACACTGGAGAGCAGTTTGTCAATATCCAGGGAAGTTGAGATCCAGATAACCCATGTCCTAATTATATCCCTACCCATGTAGAAGAGTGATCACTGCAGCTTTGTTCGAATGAGCAAAAAATTGGAAACCAACTGTCCATTAATAGGAGAATGTCCATTAACAGGAGAATGGAGACTTAGTATGCAGCATAGTCATACGAAGGAATACGATACAGTAGTTAAGATGAATGTCCTTACGCTACATATGTCAACATAAATGAAAAAAGTAAGATGCAGAAATATATTCAGCATATCATTTCTATAAAGTTTAATGCCACCCAAAACAATTACATGTATTGCTTACAGATGCAAATTTATGTAATAGAACTATAAACCGTGCAATTCAGGATGAAGGTTACCTAATGGAGGGAAGGGAATGGTAGCATGGAGGGGTAAATGTGGGATTTTAAATACAACTACTCATGTTTTACTTCTTTGGAAAGTAAAAACCTGAAGCAAATATAGCAAAATGTTTACTGTTAATTGCATGGTGGGTGTTAATTTTTTCTATTGTGTCTGAAATATTTCATAACTTCTTATTTTTAAGTTACACAGTGAGAACAGAGATTGGTCCTTCTCAAAAGAGCACACAGTACCTCCATTTCTCATTTCCCTTCACTGCTCAGCCAAGGAGGCTAGCTTCCACTTCCCTGACCCTGCATTTGCTGAGGTTACAAAAAATAACCTTGTCTGCCAATAGGGGAGCAGGGGATGATAAGGTTCTTTGTTCTTACCTTCCTTGATTCTCTTTCTTTTAATATATTCTATACTTTACTCCCTCCTTACAGCTCTAAGATAGCTTTCTCCTGGTTTTCCCTGGGCCTCTGGTCACATGCTTTCCTCTGCTTCTCCACCTGCTCCTGAACTCTCTTCCTTAGGGTTCAATCCAGAGTCCCCATTTCATTCTATACACATTCTCTCTAGATGATTTTACTCTAATCCATGTCCCCAAAGACTTCCTATAAATAGAGACTCCAAAATCTCTATCTCCAGCCCATCTCTCTCCTGAGCCCCAAACCGAGTCCCTCCAAATGCCCACTCTAGGTCCTTATCCCATGATATCACAGAAATCCTAAACTTGGAAACAGCTTTGTCCCCTGCCTGCATCTGCTGCCCTGCACCATTTCCTCTTCCTCTGCCCCCTTTTCTGATACATGGCACCACATTCCATCCTGTCACCCATACAGTAACCTGAGAGCCATCCTCTACGTAAACTCCCTCATCCCCTACTGCAGTCAGTCATCAGCCTCACCAGCCTCTGTGTGTTTCTCAAGTCAGTCCCCTCCCTATGGCTCCTAAAACCATTATTGTCTGGGTGGGCCTCGTCATTTCTAATTACTATGGTAATCCCTGACTATGGTCTCCCTGCCATCATCCCTGCCTCTGCCAATCCATCCTCTCTGCTACAAAAGAGACCAATCTTTTAAAAATATATATTTTATTGATTTTTTTTACAGAGAGGAAGGGAGAGGGATAGTTAGAAACATCGATGAGAGAGAAACATCGATCAGCTGCCTCTTGCACACCCCCTGCTGGGGATGTGCCTGCAATCAAGGTACATGCCCTTGACCAGAATTGAACCCCGGGACCCTTGAGTCTGCAGGCTGATGCTCTATCCACTGAGCCAAACTGGTTTCGGCAAGAGACCAATCTTTTTAAAATGCAACTTCCATCCCAACACCTTTTCTCAATAAATAAATAAATAAATAAATAAATAAATAAATAAATAAATAAAAATTCCTGAAATGCTGAGTCAGGACTAGAACATTCCCTTTCACAGGGTATATAAAGTCCTCCCCAACATGCCCCAAGGATCTCTCCAGCCCCTTCCATACTTGCCAGCCCAGCCATGGTGTGCTTTCATCTCTGACCTTTGCATATGGTGATTCTCTACCTCAAATATCCTCAAAACTGTCTCCATATGTACCACCATTTCCCTTTACTTGCCTAATCCTTCCCCTTCACCTCTTTGCTCAAGTATATCTGGGTCACTTCCTCTCTCAGGTTGGGTATCGACCTCAGATGACATTGTACTGTCCCACTGCAAAGGCTGTGATCTCTTTCCTATTGGTCAATGAACAACAAGAGAACTATCCCCTATCCTTGTACCTCAGTTGCGTAGCGCCTTGCCTGGCGTGTTGATGGTGTTCAGAAGATATGACTGGTCCACCTGGAGCTGAGAGCTTACTTAACAAGTGCTAGTGCAATCTTAATTCTGCAAGCAGTGGCTGAAACACACCGCGCCACCTGGCGGGCATGAGGCAGGTTTGTGCACCAGAGCACCAATCCCAAAGGTGGTCCAAGGATCTCCTTCAAGGAGAATTTGGAAGAAGGTAATATAGCTATGTTCTTATTCTTAAGAGACTCTAATTAGACTGAATGGTAGAACGCTTTAAAAAGCACAATTGGTTCCCCTTTTCATCTTTTATTCCCTTAGGGAGAAAAAAAGATCCTGGTGGTTGACATGTGGGAGGCAGAGCCATGAGTTCCACAGGAGGATCTATATATAGCTCTGTGATCAACAGCTTTGCTTCCTTGCCTCCTCAGCAGCTGGAGACAGGCTGTTGCTTCCAGATGTGGGATGGAGAAGGTGCATGCAGGCAAACTTACACATGCCTGGTGTGCAAGAGGCTCCACAAACATTTGGCCAATATGCTTCTCCTGAAGACAATCTCATGTTTATTAGCATACGCTCTGGAAATTGGGACTAGCAAATTGAAGAGTCACTTATGAGCTGAGTGACAGACCAAGGTTGGTGTCTCCTATGTGCCAGGCACTGTAGACATGGTGGGCAGCCCTTCTCATACCTATCTTGTGCATGATCTCATCTCATTCCCCTAGCCCTATTGCCAGGGGGTAGTGCTGCTCTCATTTCAAAGGTGAGCACACTGACACTCTGATCATATAGTTACCGCCTAAGATCACACAACCAATTTATATCCTAGCGTACAATTCAAACTCAGGGCTACACCCCAAAGCTCCTGAGGCCTTGTTTCTCCGGCTGCCTGCTGGCTTCTCAGCCCAGCGGGTCCTGCTGTGCTAGGATAGAAGTGCATTCACAATGGCACTGGGTAAGTGAGGAACAAAAGTGCAGCCTAAAAATATCAGCTGAAAAGGAACTCACGGGAGGTCAGGACAGTTCACAAGTGGCAGCAATAAAAAAGGAAGTTGATGAAATCTTGGAGTGGCTGGTAGAATATACATCAAGAAGAGCTCTTCTCTCAAGTAAAAGAATCTAATTCAACAAAAATGGGCAAACTAGATTATCTGCATTTATTGTTGGGCAAAACTTGGGTTGCCCGTAGTATAATTCCTCAGAGATTTCCTGAGATTTTGCACATAAAGGTCCTGTTGTTGAACTGAAGAAAGATGCCGGGAATGGGCTGTTGTCAGGTTGGTTTCACCACCAAGGGGCCCACCGTGCCTCTCCCCGGGGAGACGTTGCGGGTTTCAATGCGCTTTTCTTTCTCTTGGCTGCCTGAGCATACAGCCATCACTGTTTCCATTGTGAGCTCTTCTCTGGAGCCAAGCCCAAGTTCAGGGAACATGTGCTCAAGACACATTTGGCAGCCTGGCTCCCCACTTGCAGTGACTTTCTGCCTTTGCCTTTTCCCCATCAAGACACTTTCCTGCACTTGGAGGTTGAAAAGCAATGCTGAACACGCTTAGTTCTAAAAGCTGGTTCTGAAACCTGCTGGTTCATTGGGATGAGACACAAAAAGTCCACACCAAATACAGAACCCAGGTTACTGAACTCAGATGAGAATTATTTCCACCCCTTCCTTGTTACAGACATTACTGACCCTTATGTTTCTCAAAGCATCAATGGGCTCAGTTTCCTG